ATGCTCTCCTGGACATTGGTTTTCAGTACTACGAACCTCCATTGGTGTATTATTGGTGCAATGCTGCTCTCTGGACACGGTGTGACTATCTGGCTTTCAATGTGATGGTTTAATCTGGAATTGTCATCTCGCTGTTGTTTATTTTCCTTGCAGCTGCCAACAAATAGGAAAAAAAAATAAAAAAATATGGGATTTTTTTTTTTTCATTATGGATATGGATAGAATTTGTTCTGGTAACCTTGCCTGCGTCCTGGTTGGTTTTGTCCCGTTCTTCGGTGTAATTTGGAACACGTTGCGGTGCTTTCATGTGGGAATGGTCATCCGGGTTTGTTATCTTTTTTTTTTTTTTTTTTTTTTTTTTTGCAGGCAAGGTAATTACCTCATAGTACCTGTCATCGCTCAGGTAAGAATCTGTTGAACAATGACAACGAATAACAACAAAAAGAAGATGGAAAAAAAAGAAAAAGAAAAAAACAAGGGGATGCATGGATGATTGTGGGGTATGTTTCACATGTGCTCAACGCGTGTTTTCCCTATGCATGGCACAAATGCCCCTATTCGTCGTGGCACGTGCGTGATGTCGTCCGCACTCCCGCCAGCAGAGAGTTCTTTCAACATGTTTGCCACGTGGGCAGATGGGGCATGGTACAGTCCTATGGCCTCGCTGCACTACTCTCCACATGCGCAAAAGACAATGAAGATGGCAATGTATCTTTCCATGTTACGGTGGTGGATTCAGTCTCATTTTGCACATGTGGAGAGTAGTGCAGCGAGGCCCACCCTGGAAGACGAAAGAGAGGCCCGGTAGGTTGCCGCGTCGTTTTCGAAAAAAAAAAGAAAAAAAAACAATTAAAAAAACACCAAAAAACTTCGCGCCCTCCTATGCAAGCCGTTTGGCCGCCCATTCGGAAAGTGGCAGTAGGCCGCTAGTAAAATCCAGAGGCCGAACTTCTATTCCAACCTTTTGTGGTACCGGTACCCCAAAAGTCGAAACGTTACTGGTACCGGCCTTGAGCAGCTTCAGAAAAATCCGGTGCGCAGGGGGCACGTCGGTTTGGCAAATCAGGCCTGGGTGTACTGGTGGTTTAACGCGCTATCTGCGAGGGCGTGCTTTCTCCTCCTTGGGGGGCGTTGCCTTGGCAACTTCTATAGCGCCTGTGCAAAACTTCTCAGTATTGTCTAATCGCGCGTGCAGTTCGGTGCCCAGACGGAGCATCATATCATGTGCAAAGTCTTTAAATCCTAAGCGTATGGGCTGCAGGGCGATATCGTGGCCCCTCTGATGGCGGAATCGCTCTTGCTGTGCCCTCAACAAGACCTCTACGTTTTGGGACAGGAGCCCAACCTGGGTCTTAAGATCAGCAGTCTCCTTCAACTCTCCTCCCCTCTCTACAACCTCATTCAATCTCTTTTGCATCTCATCCGCCGCCTCCATTCGCAGTCTCCTTTCCCTGGTGAGGCGCAACTTCCACTCCAGCTTATTCTCCTCCTCCATATTTTGTTGGCGCAAGGGGTTAGTCTCCGCCTGAATCTCCTTCACCGCCGCCTCCTTCTCGGGCTGGGGAACAAATGACATTGCTTCTTCTTCTTCCCCCAACGACAGGTTAGCCACCCACTTAGTCACCATCTTCTCCAACCTTGTGTTTCCTGGTTTCGTGCCACTTGATTCCCCTCTTTCCTCTCTCTTCACATTTCTTTCCAGGGAAATCTCTTCTTCTTCTTCTTCTTCTTCTTCTTCTTCAACTGATGTTGCAGCTTCTTCCTTCTCCTTCTACAACCTCCACAACTCCTCCTCCAACTCTTTTTCCTTTTTAGTGCCAACTTCGTCGCATTCTTTTGCAACTCCTTTTTCTCTCTCCTGGCCTTCTGCTCGACCAATATTCTCGCGGCCTACTGCTCCTGCTCCTTTGTATAAGGAGTGGTCCCTGTACTACCCCTCGTCTCAACTCTACACGTGAACGTGTTCCAAAAGCCTAGTGGAAACAAGAGACGCCAAACTGTCCCCCATAGGGAGACCCCACGACCAAGCCGTACAGTGGGTAGTTATCCATGGTGATGGTGCACAACAAGTAACTGTTCCACTCCTCACCACGTAGACTTCTCCGCCAAATGATAGAATGACTCTCTAAGGACTACAAAATCT